ATCTATCTATCTATCTATCTATCTATCTATCTATCTATCTATCTATCTATCTATCTATCTATCTATCTCTTGTTACTGTAAATGTTAGTGGCTACACGTATTTGTGTTGCTATCTCTGTTTTTTTTATTTAATTTTATGAAATTAATAACAAGTGGTTTATACTGATAAGATTATTAAAGAACGATTGTTCCTCCATGAATCGAAACTATATTCCAGTCGGAGGCACAATGTTTCTGTAGCAGAACATCTCAACCCAGGCTGGTTGTTATTAAGTCCACTGTTAAAAAAAAACATGGATACCAACTCAATTTTTTTCTATGTTCTGTGAGGGTTGAAATTTTCAAACCTTCTTTCCTTATTAATTAACCTAAAAATTTCAACTGTCTCTCTGGTATATATTGTTTCTTTAGTGTCCTTTTTGTTTCCATTTTCTCAAAAACTTCGTCGTTGCTCACATGTTCAGTTCATGGTATTCACAGTATCCATTTGTAGAACCACATTTTTGTTGCTTCAAGTCTCTTCTTCATCTGTGAGAAGATTCACTTTTATAGAGGAAGACCGATATTTTCATGACAGTCCAATAATTTCTTTGTTTCTGACGAAATTTTCCTTATTCTTCTTAATACTTTGCTTAACTTTTGGAATGCATCTTTCACTATTCCTACGCGCCTTCGGATTTCGGTGTCAGATTTTTCAACTTCAGTTAAAACACTTTCTAGATATTTCAGTTTTTGAGATTGGTTTTGGTGTCTCCAGTTCGTAGTTCGCATCTTGGGTTGTTTCTTCGGCTGACAAGAATATATTCTGTTTGCTTGTAATTGACGTTTATTCCTTTCTTCTTACTTACATTTACTACCCTCTCTATGACTGCCTGTAAGTTTCTTTTTCGGGCCTGCTATCAACACTGTGTTATCTGCATATCTATAAATCAGCCATTCACCCTTGCATGGAATACTGCTGCCATATATGGCCTGGAGCCCCCGCTGTTCGTTTTAAGCTCCTCGACAAAATCCAGAGACGGATATGCAATGCGATTGGCCCTGATATGGCATTTTGTTTACAGTTGTTCTCCCACAGACTTGCCGACGCTTCCCTCTGTCTTTGCTACAAATACTTGAACGATAACTGCTCCGACAAGCTACTTTTGCTGGTTCCTAAACTGCATGAATTTAAACATGCTACTAGGTTAGCATCTCAGTCCCACCCTTTCAATGTCAAAACGGTTAAATGTAGCCATCTATTCTACTCCAATAGCTTCATGTCTCGCACTTCCCGTCTGTGGAATTCCCTTCCTCTTACTTGCTTCCCTGATAGCTATAATCTCCAAATATTAAAATGCAATGTCAATCGACATCGACATCTCCAGATCTATTCCCCGTCCTTCTCTTCATCCTTTCCTCTATGACACCTCTTTGCTCGTCCTCCTACTCTCTGTAACCCTTCTGTGCTAGTGACACTCCCGCTTTGCTTGGGGTGAAATGCTTAAAAAAAGTCTTATGTTGTTAAGATTGTGACTGTCATAGTATGACTTCTAATTCTCTAAGAATCGCCTCATTGCTGGAGGATAATTCGGCGCATCTGTTGTTTTTTCTTCTCGTGTTTATCTCGTGTATATATAGCTGACACGAAGTGAAAAGTTTTTCTCAACAGACTCTATCTTATAGATTTATCAGGTTACCATTCGTTCATGCTTAGAATCTTGCTGCAACATCTGGTCTTGTTCTCCTGCTATACATTTCAAGATTCAAAGAATAAAATGCAATGGTTTTGACCGATCAGTTTCAGTCACTTCCCCATTGCCATAACGTAGCTTCCCTTTGCCTTTTTCGATAAATACTTTCATTGTAATTGTTATGATAAACCTTCCTCTATGGCAAGGGTCGGCAACATACTGCCCGCGGGCCGGATCCGGCCCGGGGAGGCATTTTGACCGGCCCGCGAGCCTGATTACCAATGACTCTATTTTTAACATGAGAGACGAGGCTTTCGAATTAGACTACCTTTTATCTTTCATGAGACTTATTTTACCAACTTGCGTTACCTACGTTTAATGTCAAATAATGGATACATATTTGTTATGACCCTTGGCTACATTAAAAGACAACAGAAGCGAAAGGAACGATAAAGTGAAAGAGGCCAGGAAGGGACTGACATGCGAGGTAGCAGAAATCTAAAGACAGTTAAACATACGCGCATTATACATAAATGCCTCATGACTGTGTGGATGATACCGCATGTGTACGTACGTAAGTGTATATGTTTGCAACTCTTTGTACTCGTATGTATGGGTATATGTGCTTCGTTTTTGTTTGATGTGTTTGTGTGTGTGGTTCGTTTGTGGAATAATTTTCAATAACAGTTTCAAACCTACACGTCATAATTTCATCCATTTCACTTCGGTTGATTTTTTCACTTTGAAGTATTTTGACTTTCCTTGAAGAAAAGTAATTTTTGTTATTTTTTTTTTTATTTTTAAATTTTCTTTTGTTTTTCTGATATCTCAATGTTTATTTTCATTATGGTTTTAAATATTTAGGTTGACAGGGGTCTGCATATGTAATTTTCCTTCATTTTTCATTAATGGCCTTCGCCCGGCCCGCGACCTGTCCTTATAACACGATCCGGCCCGCGGGGTCGAATGAGTTGACGACCCTTGCTTTATGGCATTGTGTGGTTTTTATTGCTAACACTATTTGTTCAGTTTTTTGTATATAAATTGCAATCCTTAGGGTTTAATTTTTAAATGTTGTTATTTTTATTCCCTACCCCAGACAAATTGTATATATGGGAACTATTTAGAACTTCATAGAGATCTGAGGTATTGTGGTGGCTGTAGTAAGAATGGTAAGTAAAAATGTGTTGTTTTGGTATAAGGAATACTTATGTAGAGCGTGCGATGCAGCGACGCTAGAATTCTTGTTCAAATCGATCAAGTGAGAATTTTGTTTGAGTTTTGAAAAGTTATAAATCCACGAAATTTTCTCGTTATAACTATTTATATATAATTGTTGTACGCTCCAAAACATATATTCAAGTGTCAATAAATAGCATAATTTAAAAAATATATTTTGGTTTACACATATTTCGTCTTAGTTTTGCCTATGTATGGGAAAATTGCGCCCTGAAGATGACAATTTGAAATTGTCGAAAGTACTTGGCATGTGTCTTCCATCTGGCAACAACTCGAATATAAGGATCTTATTATTCAAGGAACTGATAGCAAGTTAATGTTTTATTAAGTTCTGTAAGCGAAATAATTAACTTTTATTTTTTCCACTTTGTCATATATTTTCCTAAAATTGTTATGATATATAAAAATGTTTACAGTGTAACCCGGATATAAGAGATCCGGATATAAGAGAAACCCGGATATAAGAGGAACCCGGATATAAGAGAGATTTTCTCTGGTTCCAAATTAGAGCCCATACTTACCTAAACAAAATAGACCAAACCCGGATATAAGAGAAACCCGGATATAAGAGACTTCTTCTCCGGTCCCGACAACTCTCTTATATCCGGGTTACAGTGTATTTCTTTTTTTCTCTATATAGGTATACACATATATACATGTATTTTAGCAGGCTTACGGTGATATAACGTTGAATTACCGGTTCTCGTCACCGAAGGTAGGCAACGTCGAGCCTGGTTAGTACGTAAATGGGTGATCGCTTAGGTATACCAGGTGTTGTAAGCTTGGATGCGCGACGGAGCGGAGATGTAATGGATGACGGCTCGGAATGTGAAATCGGAGAGCCGAATTCAAATCCCAGTGGGGTTCGTTACGTGTAAATGCTTTTGGGTGAACATGAATCGAAAAGAGGAATGATCGCCAAAGTGTGTCACCTCCGCCCCTACTACCAAGTATTGGGCCAGCGGGGTCGGGTAATCGCACATTCCTTACAATGAATCTAAGGAAGACACACGTCTTACAAAGAACCTTCGCAGGCTGAGAAGTAGTCGTATTTGGGCAACAGTTTATCATTTCTACAAGTTTGGTGAAAGACCGACTAAAGTTCTTTCTTAAAGATATTTTGTTCATTTTTCTGTATTTCGAACAATTTACCTGGTTACGGTGTAAATTGAACTACGACCTATGTTCGCTTGTTCCCAAACTGCATGAATTTAAGCGTGTTACTAGTTTGGCATCTCAGTCCCACCCTTTCAATGTCGAAACGGTTAAATGTAGCCGTCTCTTCTACTCCAATAGCTTTATGTCTTGCACTTCCCGTCTGTGGAACCCCCTTCCTCTTCCTTGCTTCCTTGGAAGTTATAGTCTTCAAATATTCAAATGTAATGTCAATCGACATCTTCTGATGTCTTGATATAATTCTCCGTCCTTCTCTTTATGTTATCCTCAATCACGCTTCTTTACTCTTGCTCCCACTCTCTGTAACCCCTTGCGTGTTAACAGCACTCCCGCCTTGCTCGGGGTGAGATGCTTAAAAAAAAAAAATTATCTAATGTCTGAGTACTTTTATCAGACTGCTTTTAAAAATATAACTCTGAGTTTCACGCTAACGCTGATTTTCAAATGATTAAGATCAAAACGGTCTCATGGTCACAATCAGTGTGAAACTCATAATTACGATTTTCGATCAGTGTACCTGGACGCATTCCTGGTTGTTGTTATTCTTACAGCTCTGTCTTCACGGTTGTGTTTCCCCATTTCGGGTTTCTTGTTTGTGTAGATATTGAAAACTCTAGATTTTTGTAAGGTACATGTCTGTCTCTGTTGGCTTGGTATTTGTCGCATTGAGTTTGGCATTCCCTTTTAGCTGTTGCGTTATTCTCTCTCTCTCCCTCTCACCCTCACATATACACATACATATATATAAAGGTAAAAAGTGAAATTGTTAGAAAAGTTTGTACAAAAACTTTCTGTATAGAGAAAATAATAAGATTTGGAAAAAAATATTTAATGTTTTGTATAGTTATATGTATTTTTTATTATACATCCATATGTACAGAATATTATTAAAATTAAAATTGTTTTACTCATATGTAGGTATATTGAAAAATCGTTTTACTTCAACCGGTTTTGTTTTTAGTTTTTAAACAATTTGAAAATGTTCATGGGATT